CACTGAAAATCAAACTCTTTCTAACCCCTCTTTCTGCGATGACCTCACAGATCTTGTTTTCCCATGACAAGAATGAAGTTTAGTCTGCACTGACGATTTGTCTCAGCTGGTGCAGTCTAGAGCCAGCTATTGATATAAATGCACTCATGCTGCAGAGTGAATGCCAGTCTGATGGTGGGGTGAACACCACCAGTGAAAGTCATGCTTGCATTTCATGTCACCCCTTTAGCTGCTCTATATCAGCACAGCTCTGTTGGCTTCAATGGATCTGCATGTGTAAGATCTGCAGACCACCATCATCTGTGTGCAGAATTGAATCTGGAACCTCTGGAGCTTAGTGCATGAGCTTTCCCACATAAGCTAAAAGCCAGCTGGCTGCAGAAGAGACTCATTATTCTTTCTGTAAGTGGCCCCAATGCCAATAGCTGGGATAGTCAGAAGGTGTGTGGGTTACACATGGCTATGCACCTTGAGGATCTGGTGGTTGAGGTGGTATTGGGACAAATTTCCAAAGTGGACAAGGCCTAAGGCAACTATAGAGTAATTATTATGCAGTGAAAGTCAAGTTCACCCTGTCAGGCTGGACTGTATTGAATGACCTGGAGTTTCAGCTTTTTTTAAAAAATGATGTTACAGGTATCTTATTAAAACTAGTGAAACTTGTGCTGCAGTGTCCTTCATCTTCAAAGCTGATGTTACTACACTTTCATTATTCGACCCATCAGGCAGCAACATTTTCATAAAGGAATAAGATTGTCTGCTGCTGCCAGGGTGGTGTTCATTGCTGAATAAACTGGATTTTCACCCAACCATGACAGTTTGGATTATAACATTTAGAATCTGTTGCTTCAGTAACTTTTCTTAAACAAAGATCATGGCACAACGGGAGCCTTTAAAACCACAGGAGGGATGGCGGAAGCATTTTTAAAGGGCTTCAGGTTTCATGTACGGATTAAGGGAAATCCACATGGGAGAGGTTAATAGAGTAATGCTTTTCTTAGTGATGATGGGGAGCATAGGAAAACAATCCTTTGTATGTCTTAGCTCCATCCTCTTATCCTAACGCTCTATTATTTGATTGCTTCTCACTGCTACTAACAGGTGAAACTTAAGGGATTCAGATTTCTGTACAGATAAGTGTCTGGACTTTTGACCCCAACCACAGTCTCAAAACTGAACAATTTCACCCTTTAGATTATTAAAAAAAAATCTGCCTCCACACAGCTACTACCTTATCTAGTGGGCTGAAGCAGAAACTATGATCCTGTAAGCCTCCTTTCTTTGAGATGGTGTATATATACAGATCTCCATCTAAATTTTATGACTTGAGTCAATCATTAAATCCAGACATCGAATCCTACGGTTGGAAGAGACCTCAGGAGGACACCGAGTTCAACCCGCTTGCCCAAAGCAGGACCAACCTCACCTAAATCATCCCGTCCAGGAAGTACTCGAGCCAGGACATAAAAACCTTTAGGGATGGAGATTCCACCACCTCCCTAGGGAACCCATCCCAGTGCTTCCCCACCCTCCTATAGTGAAAGAGTTTTTCCTAATATCCAACCTAGACTTCCCCACTGTACTTGAGACCATTGCTCCTTGTTCTGCCATCCGTCACTACTTAGAACAGCCTCTCTCCATCTTCTTTGGAACCTCCCTTCAGGTAGTTGAAGGCTGCTATCAAATCCCCCCTTGCTCTTAAGAACATAAGAATGGCCATACTGGGTCAGACCAAAGGTCCATCTAGCCCACCCACCTCTTCTCTTCTGCAGGCTAAATAAGCCCAAATCCCTCAGCCTCTACTTGTAAGTCATGTGCTCCAGCCCCCTAATCATTTTGGTTGCCCTCCACTGGACCCTCTCCAATGCCTCCACATCCTTTCTGTAACGGGCCCAGGATTGGACACAATACTATAGATGTGGCCTAAGAGAGGCATCAACGATTGGACACAATGCTATAGATGTGGCCTCACCAGTGCTCAATAGAGGGGAATAATCAATTCTCTAGATCTGCTGGAAATGTTCCTCTTAATGCACCCTAATATGCTGTTAGCCTTTTTGGCTACAAGGGCACCCTGTTGACTCCTATCCAGCTTCTCATCCACTGTAATCCTCAGGTCCTTTCCTGCTAAACTACTGCTTATAGCAGTCTGTCCCCAGCCTGTAGTAGTGCTTGGGGTTCTTCCATCACAAATGCAGGACTCTGCACTTGTCCTTGTTGAACCTCATCAGATTGTCCATTTGTTTCACTTTGCAAAGCAGGTCTAGGAATTTTTCTCTAATAAGATTGTTTACGAGAGTCCCGCTATTTCAGCCTCTGATCCCTGACAGAATCTCCCATTTCCTTGTGTTATTTCTTGGGCATTACTAAATTCACGGCCCATTTTGATCATGTTCATGGCCACAGGATTTTAGAAGTGGTACGTTTCATGATTTCCACTGTTTAAATCTGAAATTTCACAGTATTGTAATTGTAGGGATCATGACTCCAAAAGGAGGTTTGGGGTGGTCACAAAATTACTGTAGGAGAGTTGTGGTACTGCAACCTTACTTCTGCACTGTCACCGGTGGTAATGCTGCCTTCACAGCTGGGCAGCTGGAGAGTGGCAGCTGCTGGCCAGGATCCCAGCTCTGAAGGCAGAGTTGGCATGAGCAACAGTGCAGGTGTAAGGGTGGCAATACCATACCATGATATCCTTACTTCTGTGCTGCTGATGGTGGGGTGCTGCCTTCCAAGCTGGACACCTGGCCAGAAGTCACTGCTCTCCAGCTGAAGTCAAAACAGAGGTAAAGGCAGCAATATGGAGACTCTCGTAAAATAACCTTGTGACCCCCTGCAACTTCCTTTTGGATCAGGACCCCCGGGAAATATATCTCGTATGGAGTAAAAGCACATAAAAGGCCAAATTTCACAAGGGGAGACCTGATTTCATGTTCCATGATGCATTTTCCATGGCTGTGAATTTGGTAGGAACCTCATTATTTCCCCACTTCTGGTTAGATCACCTTTGGGTGAGATTAGCAAGTCATTGATTCTCACTGTTCCTCGCTTCCCAACTTGTAAAAATGGAGCCTTGATCCTTGAAAGCTGGGGTATTCAGGGGTGGATGAGAATTTTGCAGGGCCCAGGGAAGCACAATTTTGTGCCCCCCCCCCCTTTGACACGGCGCATACGCTGTGACACCACGGTGCATGCATGAGGCTTCTTGAAGTGCAGGTCCCGGGGCAGCTGCCCCGCTCGCCCTGCCCTGTATCTGCCACTGGGGGGTATTGAATCTTCTTTGTTCCCCCTTTTGTCTTGTTTCTTCATATCGTGGGATCGTCAGTCCAGGGTTTGGGCACAGGGTCTGGAATGACATTGCTGCTGACTTTGAGCAGTTCCGTGCTGTAAATAATTGTGTGGGAAGCTCATCGCTGTTTCTTACTTTATTCACACTTATTGTCCCACCTTTGCTCAGTACCTATTCACCCTGCATAGTTGCTCTGTTGCGCTGAATTAACAAGTTACGGGGGTCACACAATGAGGTAAATGAGAATGCAAAGGTATCCTGCCAGCTGCCTCCAACCTTGAACCATGAGTGAATCCCATAAATATTAAATATTGGATGGAAGGTTTCGAAGACTCTTGATAGAAATACTACCAAAGGAGAAATACCAGGAGGATTTACACCATACTCTGATTTAATTATTTCTTGGGTGGCATTTTGTCCTGTCAAGGCATTCGTCCTTTGCTGTCAAATCACCAAGTGCCAATTTCCTTTTTCCAAACAGTCCCTGTAATGCACTGATAATAAATAAGAATGAAAAATTGTGGATATGATTATTGTAATTTTCAGTGTCATGATAAAATAATAATCCTTTTACCTATGCTGCCTATGCTGTATATTCATCTATGACGTCTCTCACTTAGGTTTTCTTGTGCAGTTTCTTATAGTTCTACAGTAGCTGGTTTGTCCTTAATGTATTCAAAAGTACAAGAAAAAGAGTGGTTTTTTTTAAGTATTACCACGTTATTTGTCAGGGTGAGTGAACAAAGGGTGGAATTTTAAGACGTTACTCACTTGTCAACTAGTCAGGGGGAATTGGTTCTTATGTCCAGAACTAAGTTTGGATTTAGGCCTGTGCTCTTGGGTGTTTTTTTTTTTTTTTTTTGCTGTAGCAGCTAAGTGCTTCCGTCAGCAGTTGGGGTCCTATAATGCTACTACCGCACAGATGTTTATTAACAGGACAATCCCTTCCCAACATGCTTATTCTGTAGGTTAAATCAGAACGTGTGAAAGCTGAACTCCTGACACCTTGCGGTTTTCAAAATGTTACATGGCCCTTTTTGGGCAAGTGTAAACCTATTAACTCTGTTGCCCCTGCTGACTAATTCAAAACTGAGTAACTACCTCTCCCCTACCAATTTTTCATGCACTTTCAATTGGCTCTGGCATTGCTTTAGATTCATGAAGTTTAAAGCTATAAGGGGCCATTTGATAAGTTAGTCAGACTGCTTTTATAACAGGGGCCAGAGAATTTCACCTAGTTAGCTCAGGCAGTTCTTCAATTTCTGTCCTAAATGTTTATGTAGTGTTCCTTATGAAGTTATCAGCTGCCAGGTTTCATTACACAGGTAGCCTCCTTCTAGTGGAGGAAGAATGGGATGGATGTACAATTTATTATGCTTGTAAAGTGCATTATGTTCCTTCTGGTTGAAGGGTGCCACATACATTTGGTCTACAATTTTCAAAGTTACCCAGGAAAATAGGAAGCTCAATTCTTATGAATTCTAATGGGAATTAAGTATCCAAAACCCATCAGTAGCTTTGAAAATAATCTTTAATGTATAGGCATCTAAGAACAGCAATTCGGAATTAGTTCAATGATTTGTGTAGTTCTGAATCAGATGCTTCAGAAGGGGGGGGAAGTCCCTATGGTAGACACTTATGGAATAACATGCCCTAGGGGAATGTTCTTCCTGACCTAGGCTACGTCTAGACTGGCATGATTTTCCGCAAATGCTTTTAACGGAAAAGTTTTCCATTAAAAGCATTTTTGGAACAGAGCGTCTAGATTGGCCACAGAAGCTTTTCCGCAAAAAAGCCCCGATCACCATTTTCGTGATCGGGGCTTTTTTGCGGAAAACAAATCTCAGCTGTCTACACCCACCCTTTTGCGCAAAAGTTTTGTGCAAAAAGGACTTTTGCCCGAACGGGAGCAGCATAGTATTTCCGCAAAAAGCACTGATTTTTTTACAGGAGAAAGTCAGTGCTTTTGCGGCAATTCAAGTAGCCAGTGTAGACAGCTGGCAAGTTTTTCCAGAAAAGCGGCTGATTTTCCAGAAAAAATGGCCAGTCTAGACACAGCCCTAGTGTTTAATTATTGACCTGAAGCATGAGAGTTTATAGTTATTATACCATTTCTAGCTTTCCTAACATAAAGCAAGAGGAAGACCAAGGACAGGGCAGACCCACTGCTCAGTGAAGAGGGAGAAACAGTAACAGGAAACTTGGAAATGGCAGAGGTGCTTAATGACTACTTTGTTCAGTTTTCACCAAGAAGATGGAGGGTGACGGGATGGCTAACATAGTGAATGCGAGTGGAAATGAGGTAGGTTCAGAAGTTAAAATAAAAAACGAACAAGTTAAAAATTACTTAGAAAAGTTAGATGTCTGCAAGTCAACAAGGGCCTGATGAAATGCATCCTAGAATCATCAAGGAGCTGATAGAGGAGGTATCGGAACCTTTAGCTATCATCTTTGAAAAATCATGGAAATCAGGAGAGATACCAGAAGACTAGAAAAGGGCAAATCTAGTGCCCATCTATAAACAGGGAAATAAGGACAACCCATGAAACTACACACCAGTCAGTTTAATTTCTGTGCCAGGGAAGATAATGGAGTAAGTAATTAAGGAATTCATCTGCAAACATCTGGAAGATAATGAGGTGATAGGTAGCAGCCAACATGGATTTGTAAAGAACAGATCATGCCAAACCAATTTGATGGCTTTCTTTGACAGAATATCAAGCCTTGTGGATAAGGGAGAAGTGGTAGATATGTTATACCTAGACTTTAGTAAGGCATTTGAGAGTCTTGCATGACCTTCGTATCAATAAACTCGGGAAATGCAGCCTAGATGGGGCTACTATAGGATGGGTGCATAACTGTCTGGATAACTGTTCTCAGAGAGTAGTTATTAACGGTTCACAATCCTGTTGGAAGGGCATAACAAGTGGGGCTCCGCAGACATCTGTTTTCGAACCGGTTCTGTTCAATATTACAGAATCATAGAATCATAGAGCTGGAAGAGACCTCAGGAGGTCATCAAGTACAGTCCCCTGCCCAAGGCAGGACCAATCCCAACTAAATCATCCCAGCCAGGGCTTTGTCAAGCCGAGACTTAAAAACCTCTAGGTATGGAGATTCCACCACCTCCCTAGGTAACACATTCCAATGCTTCACCACCCTCCTAGGGAAATAGTTTTTCCTAATATCCAACCTAGACCTCTCCCACTGTAACTTGAGACCATTGCTCCTTGTTCTGTCATCCGTCACTACTGAGAACAACCTCTCTCCATCCTCTTTGGAACCTCCCTTCAGGAAGTTGAAGGCTGCTATCAACTCCCCCCTCACTCTTTTCTTCTGCAGACTTAAAAAAACAAAATTCCTCAGTATCTCCTCATAGGCAGGGGCAGCCCATGACTATAGGACAACTCGGTGGTCACCTAGGGTGCTGCCTTCAACGGGGCACCTGAGGCACCCAATGATGACATCACTCCATTGACGGCTGTGCAGGCAGGGGGGCGGGACACACGTTCCGCTTTGGGCCCCAGCAGCCGC